CATATTTGTCCACTTTGTTCAAGTCTGCACCTGTAGGAAAGTAGTTAAATATGGTGAACGAAACATCGTAACTTCTGAGCGATGGAAAAGATGGAATGAATAACTCGATAATGAAACACAGCAGGTGAAATTTACAGTGTGTCTTTTGAAAAGCAATGAAAGACAAATCCGTTAGGACATTGGTAGCCATGTATTGCTTCGATGTCCTAACAAATTTTGATCAATTATAACTGGTATAACTCTTAATCTAGTCTTTCTGTAATGTAATGTAATGTAATGTAATGTAATATAGTTTTGTATTCTATAAACCAGTATTGGTAGCATTGTTTGCATAAAGTTGTGATAACTTTCGTCTCATTTTACCAAGGTCTTGTAGAAATAATCTTACCGTTATTTAGCAGAAACTTGGCGACATCTGTATGCCAAGATCTTGCTACTTCATGGAACACGGTCTGACCATGTTTATCGGCCGTGTTTATTGACGCACCATTCTTCACCAGGGACTGCACGAACGCGAAGTCCATCTTATCATTGAAATTATTCGAGCGCGCAAGGTTGGCGAAGTAGTGAAGCAATGCATGGTTACGTACGGTGAGTGGTGTCCCTGGCGTCGCTCCACGAGTATTGAACGCAGTCTCACATTCAGAATCTGAATCTAACTCCGACTCGAGTACGGCATGCATTGCAAGGTTCGTCTTCTCAGCCGCGCCGGGTATTTCAGCCATAAGCATCTCCTCAAAATTTCGTCTCTGATTACGAATCGTTCGTTTCCCAGTTAAAGTCTGCCAATGATCTGCATACATTCTTAATAAATTCGTCTTCTTCTCGCCTCCCGTGTCTTCGTTCGCGACTCTACTCAACTCGCTGGCTTTAAACATGTCGCTGACAAACGCTGTCTTAGATCTCTGATCAAATAACCGCGCAAAAGCGAAAATGTTTTCTTTAGGAAGATTTTAATATCGTTTAGGAATTCAGCATTAAGATACGTTAGATCCTCAGTGAATCCGACAGCGAGAAAATTTAGCACAATGTGTTTCAATATGGCTGGCTTAATACGATAAACAATATATTTAATTTAGACAGTCAAATTCCTTCATAATTTCTGCACATGTTTCGGGTCGTGACGTCTGCTAATTAGTTTAGCGTTGTTTGCTTAAAAGCTTGTGAAATTGCTTTGCTGAAATGAGATGATTTTAATGTAAAATTCCGGAGACGTTTGGGGAGATGGGTTTACGATATCGCGAAAGATGCCATCTAAATTGAGTCGAGCATATTTGCGACACGTGGAAGCCATCTCAAGGATGAACTCATAAGAAAATTAAAACATCGTTAAAACAGCTTCATATCACCATTGAGGCAATTTTTAACCGCTCAAGAAATGAATCATGTACATAAGTACATTTGCATGTTACATTATGAAAGCCCAGCAAACGACTGTCAGCAGCCCTCCCCCAAAGATGGAGGAGAACTCGTGATGACTAAATAAGGACGCCATTTCAATTTGACAATAAAATTAACAAGGTTTTAATAGAAAAGATTTTTAAATTTTCACAGAATTGCTCTCCTTGGCATCGAATTGTATCTTTGGTTTTGTACTCCTATAAAACAGCATTGCTCTCAATCAATAAAGATTTACATTTTTTTGTATATGCATATATAATTATAAAAATAACCACAGCTTGAACTAAATATAACGAGTTATTAAACGCTCGACTATTTCTAAGTGTTGTATGTGATAATTACAGTGCAGAGATTACGGCGTGGACATATCGGCTGAATTTTGATGCATCTAGATCATTCTAGATCTACACACTTCCTGATATTTCACGGACAAAATGGCGCCGTTAAATAAAACTGCTGACAGTTCAAGTGAATTAGATTGCTTATAACTATACCATCTGCCAAGCAAGACGTAAACAATGACACGAACGTGTCCAGTGCTAGCCTGGTAGGGGCTATAACGTAGCTAGTACAATGACCCTGACACTATACACATGCTTTAAAATGACATTTCTTCAGTTCACTTCGCTTTTGGTCGATAAAACTCGCCTAAATACAACGTAATTGCCTATCGTCATTATGATTTATGAGGTTACGTGTGAGTCAGAAAACATATAGTCAATTTTTTTTTATTTTGCACAAAGAAAAAAGAAAGGTCATAAAGAAAAAATAGGAATAAAAATCAAAATCGTAAAAATGAAAAGGTTTGGCAACCGAAAGGTGATCTTATTGAATTTCTTTTTAATTTACATGAGTGACTTATATAATATTCATACACAACAATGGTTTTTACCATCGATACAAAAATATAAAATTATCCTGAATAAAAATATAACTACATTTCGATTATACTTGTTAGTTGTGTGGTACTTATCGCTGCGTGTTCAAAATGTTTTGGCGTCCCAGAGATAAGACCACAGCAGCTCGCAACTTTGGGAATTTGTCCAGTGAATCTGATCTAAAAGAAAAGAGGTCATCACCAGCAAATTCGTGCAGACCTTTCACTTCGCACAATGCTCAGTCTTAGAATCATAAAGTTAAACATATGCATTGGACTTTGGAATTTCAAAATGAATGAGTGAATGACTCTTAGGCCAAAAAATATGTGGGTTTCCGGTTTCCAGACCATACCTAGCTTTTGGACGCCGAAATCACGACCCTAAACCTTTTTATTGGATCATGCTTGTAAGTGTTTCCACTTAGAGGAAAACGTTTGTGAAAAATGGAAATTTGAGGCAATATTAGGGAAATTTATATTTGAATGTGGAAGCACAGACTAAACAGAATGGTGTCCGGTTGTTAGGAAAATTTTAAAAAAAGTTTAAAAAAAAATTAAAACCGACCTACCCTACCTAAGTTTTTACAAGAAGAAATAGGAAACCCACATTTTTTTTTGGCCTTACATAACTCTAATGCTTGGTTACCTTTGTTCTACAGCAACGTAAAGTAGAATAGTAACCAAGCATGCGAGTTACACAATACCAGTGTGAATTGGGTAGCATGCAACTAGAGTCCAAAAAATTTGTTGCAGGCAAAAGAAGTTTAGTTTAAAATGTTAGCATACATAGATGATGTGCTGCACATTTATAAAGAAGATAATTAATATCCTTACTCGTTGTCCTTGAACACCTCTTGAAGGCGTTTCCTCAAAGGTGGATCTCCGAGCTGAAAATTTAAAACAGGATTTACAAAATAAAGTGTTGGCTATAGGGAATCAATATTGTCATGACATATATAGAGTTGTACCTATCTGGCGACGTTGAATCTTCAGTACTCGACGATTCCTTTAATTCACTTGGCATTAGATTGATCGAATCTGATGAAGAAAACAATTCAAAAAGGACGTGTGATTTTGCTAGAAGAGCATCAACAAACTGACCCAAATAAGATCTCAGTGCTTTTTGCATGGGGCATCAATTTCTGTTGTGTGCAGTTGTCTGATTTTACGGAAATAGAAAACCTCTAGTTTGATTATTAAAACGCCCCATATTGTCTTCAGGTACTGGGGTTGGGTTCTGTAGTAACACTAGGTCATCGCCCTTACTGGACCCTAGGGAGGACAGTTTAGAACTAGTAAACCTGTCCAGTATATAAATAAAGCTGAGTTAGTAAGGTAGTAACTTAGACAAAGGACAGACATCTCTAAACCGAGTATAACATTGTAGCCCAAACAGTATACATGTATATCACTTACCAAAAGCGGTTAATGGTTGGGAACCATCTTGCAAACGTATACTAGGCGTCTGGGAAGGAGAAATATTTGAGCAACATTAAACAATACTCTTTTCCTCCTCAAATCTCCATCTTTTTGTACATTTTAATTCTACCATGTTGTGCTCTTTGATCATCATTTGTATCAGGAAGATCATCTATTCACTATTGTTGCATTCAGTTAAATGTCTAGTTTAATTACCTCAAGATTCTCGTTTTATAAAGGATTTTATTAAATAACCAATTTTTGGGTTTTTTAAAATTAACCACTATAAAATGCTCCTCTCCGGATATTAGTGATTTGTCGGGCCTGTTTCAGATCCACTGTATATTGATTTTTGAAAATGACATGGCAAACGTCATCTGATGACATTAACTTAACAATGTTCTTCATTCACTCTTCAATACTATTCAGTAGGACCTGAAATGGACCCGTAGTTTCCGCATCTCCATATCCAGCCAGAGGTGCGTGTAATACTATTAAAAGAGTTAAATGCCCACACGATGTTTTTTAAATTTATTTTAACAATACAGTTTTACAATGTCTCTTAAAAATATTTAAATCTCGTAACAAATTTAGCTAACTATATGCCTACAACTCAAATTTATCATTTCATTTAGTGTCTCTTAGAGTATCTCCCGTATGCCTGCTTTTCATTCCGAGCAGTGGTCATTGATGCGAAATAGTCTGGATCTAACTCGTCTTTTGAAATGGTCCGGACCCAAATGATTGTAAGCCTTGTATACACTATCAAAGTTTCTGGGATCACAGTAGGAATTTTGCATGGGTAAATTCTACGTTTTGAAGGATTTATAAGAAATATTTGAGGGAACTCACTTAGCGTTAAACACTGAGTCAATTCCCTCAAACATTTCTTACAAATCTTTCAAACTTAGAATTTACCTAATGCAAATTTCAAAACTTAGAATTTACCCCATACCTAGGCTGTGGAAATATATCAACACTAGTCTGGATCTATTTCGCCTTTTGTGTGCTGTGACCAGGGCTCGAATTTTATCGCGACAATTGCCGTATAAGGAGAACAAAATGCCGTGGATCATTGCGGCAACGACGGCAATTTTTTGCCGTATAGTGCAATTTTTATACTATTCACTGTGCATTACTACTTCGATACTTGAATTCAGATGTTGATCAAATCATGCGTAAATCACTATTTTAGTCTCAGTTTTCTTCGGAAAAAAAGCACTAAAGAAATACGTAGACATGTTTCTAGCTTGTCAAAAATCCAAAGTAACAATAAAATTAAAGTTTTATTACAGTAATTTGAAAAATGCCGTGGAAACGGCCAAAATTGCCGTAGACAGCTGTTACGTTCTACGGCAATTTTTAACGCCATTGCCGTCGATTGATTTCAGGGAAATTCGAGGACTGGCTGTGACCGTCACAACTTAATGAAAAACAGGCAGCTGACCATTCGCTAGTTTTTTATTCTCAAAACTTCAATAATTCATACATTAAGGTTACAAGTCTTTAGTTTTTACACAGATTAACTTTTAGTTAGATATTCCTAGTAGTTAAATAGCTTGGAAATGATTTGAAATTCATATAAAATTACGCAACTTTAAATTGCTGAGAAAAATAAACAGCTGCTTGCTAATCTTTTAAGATTAGATTTCTACATTCATTTTTATGCTTGTATTTTGACTTGAATCAAGGTCAGTAAAGGAGATATACAGATTCAGTTTTTATTTGTGAACTGAACATTTTAATTTGGTTATCACATAAAATATAGTTTAAGACAATTTACACGAATTGATGTATCTACATTCAATTTAATATTATAATTTAAGGTTACCACCCAAAGGATTCTGGGATATTTCTTTCCTATGGGTAGGAAGGACGTCCGCAATGTCAAAATGATCTGTCAGCAGTTGCTAACAACATGGATTGTTACTTCACGTTAAGTTAAACCTACATACATTGCGAGATCCCCCATCCCTTCAAAAAGCTACATCCCAAACCTTGCGTAAAACGAAATGTCAACGGTATTTTTACAATTTAGGTTGTATTATATAGTCAGAGAAAATAGTAGCTCGGAGAAAACTCTAGTTGTTGTCATCTACCTTAGTAAAATATTTCTCCATATCTCCAGATAAACGGTTACTTCGAGTTTCCTCGCTCGATGTTGACGACGGCGAGCGACTGCCTCCTTCCGTACTGGTAATAGAAAAAAATTGAAAAGGAAGAACATTAACACTATTGTACAAAATATTCATGAGAAAAACCAAAGATTGACGTTTAGGGAAGACAGCAAACTTGAAATTGTATTTTGAGGTCAATTGTTAGCTGTTCGAAGTTAGTGGAAATTTATGCATGATTACCTACTTAGCGGTGGAAAATTTGTAAAATTTACCTTCAAATGTGATTTGAAGCTTGCTGTTTGCAGTCTGCCGTACACGCCAATCTTTGTAATATTAGAGACCTTACAATATAGGACGGCAACGGCCAGAATAAAATCATTCAAATAAATGATTGTAAAGAAAGTTGCTAGACTATATCATTTATCGTATCAAGTTATCAACTGTTTGGCAGCTTGAAATAGTGACTTTATTGTTGAAAAAGTTCTGCTGTAGTACTGAGCTAATTTGCTGAGTATCACATCTCACGTCTTCAAATGCAGGCGTTTTATCCAAGACGTAAAAGTCTGTAGTTTCCCGTTGTAAACACAGACCGTGGTCTCAAACTCCCGTGGGATATTAATTACTCATTTTTTTCTTCTTAAATATTACGAATCTCATTGTATGAATAGCCGTCGTCGAGCCAGATCGTAAGGTTTATATCGACAAGGTGCAACAACGTGAACGAGGCGTCAACTTACCTTACTCCATCAGATGATTTTCCGTTAATGGCAGGTGGCGCAGGTGCCGCGCTCATTGGTCGAGGAACTGCACTTGTTGGACGCTTATGTCGTGTAACTGGTAATGCCGCTGTGTAACTACGACCCATGTTACTATCTTCAAAATAAGATCATTCATCATTAAGAATCAAACGTTATCTATGCCGGCCATTTCTTATTGGTACGCTGTTATATATACTACAGGGAAAAACCTAAACTAATTTTATTTATACTGGATTGCTCTTTCAGTTCTAAACGGTTATCCCTAGAGATTCCAGTGAGAATCATCTCTTATTGATCCAGTGTTATTACAGGAGGAAACCTTAACTAAACACCTTTATTTATACTGGATAGCTCTTTCAGTTCAAAATTGTTCTCCCTAGAGATCTAGTATAAGAATCATCTCTTATTGTTCCAATGTTACTACAGGAGAAAACCTAAACTAGACTAACTTTACTTATACTGGATAGCTCTATCAGTTCTAAACTGTTCTCCCCAGAGATCTAGTATAAGAATCATCTCTTAAAACAATAGGAGAAAAATGGAGAAAGTTGGTTAAAATTTACTATGTACATACCGATACCGACAAGTTCGTCTTCGTCAACTCTTTGTGGTTTCTATAAAAATGAACATATAAATAAATATTGGAAAAACCTTTCTGAGTCCCCTTTAGTTACCTTATCTGGAAACTAAGAGGGTTCGCGTGTTCATTCCCCGCTCGGGGCCTCACACACTATAAGCACTTCTCATAATCCTAGGCTCAAAAATAATCAAACATACCACCGGCATATCTTTTAAAACAGGAATGCCATCTCCAGGACCCATGTGCGAAACGTGAACAAAGTCTTTTGGAAGCGAAATCAATCTTGATTTTACTTCGGCATCGAGATCTTGGAATCCCAACTCTCTCGTTTTAAACGACCACCTGAAGAAATAAAGCACATTATATTTATAGCCAAATTCGTAAAATATAATCATCTATTTCCAACTTCTGGGAAAACTACGCCAGTCATATGACAAACGCCACAATCGACAATGACCATCGCATACGACCGGTTGTATCAGGCGTTATTTATTTATTTATTTATTTATTTAACTTTGCCAATAAACATTAAAACACAGAAAATACATTTTTGGACAATGGCAGGGAACACGCTACAGCTTACGCCAATTACAGCGGCTCTTACATATAAGATACGACATCACAAACACATTAAACTAATAACAACACGATACTTCACAGCAGAGTTGTAGACTCGAGTCGTGTGACTTGGACTCGAGTCGGACTCGAGTCGCAATTTTTGTGACTTGTGACTTGACTTGTTAAAGAGACTGATGACTTGTGACTTGACTTGGACTTGCAAGAAATGACTTGTTACCAACGCAAGTCAAACGTAAATATCTAGTGAAAATCAAGTTTTCCAAAATCTTTGTGTTGATCGATCGATCGTCGTGTTGTACAATTTGGGCAACGACCTTAGTACATATCAATGGCATCGACAGAATTTGTGCCGGCGTATTTTCTGACAAAGCGGTTTTTTTCGCGATTTCGTGGTAAAATTTCTGACATAAAATAGCGACGCCATATTTACATATTTCGCCGTTTTGCGTGGGAAACATGACTTGTGACTTGTCTTGAATTGACTTGCCACTTGGAATGACTTGTGACTTGACTTGGAATTAGACAAAATGACTTGTGACTTGACTTGAACTCAGACCAAATGACTTGTGACTTGACTTGCAGGAAATGACTTCTGACTTGACTTGGACTTGCAACATAGGACTCGTTAACAACTCTGCTTCACAGGACAGTTTACGGGACTTGTTACAGGACAAACATATTGATTTCTATGTTCATGGATCATCCACGTCGTAGACCGTTTGTAATGCTACTTTATAGTACATAAAAAGTCCATTTTTTTAACTGACTAAGGCTGGTGTTATTGCCTGTCAAGTTCTTTGGCAGTACGTTCCACATTCTGGTACATCTATTTAAATAGGACTTTTGGAATGTGGTTGTCTTGCATCGTGTTGTCGTGAATGACAAATGGTCAATATAAATAATAATATTAATAATAATAATATTAATGTTATAATGCATTCAAAACATACTTCTTCTTGCTTTTCATTTTGAGCACAGCAGCGATAGCTTTCTTTCCTTTAGTCGGATCAGGGATGACCAGTTCCTCCTCTGCAAGAAAAACAACGAATATTACGGTGATGAATATACAAATCCTCAGAGAATTCGTAGATAAACTATTGGGATATCATGATATCTCGATCAACAAATCTCACAAATGTCTATGGTACCTTGCATCAGTTTGTTCCGTAAGAACAGCAAGCTGTGTGCTTCGTTGGCAGTCGAGAGGCATAATGACCCGTCGCTTACAAGTGAAATGCACTAAATGTAATGGAGATACAACGGTGAAATAAGCTACTGCATGAAATTTAAGGCACAAAAAAGTCTAAAGGAGTAAGATTTCCAGCTATACAAAAGGTGACCATATGTTAGCGAACTATTAAATTCGCTTCCTTCCCCACATTTCCTACCTTTTTGATTGGAATTGTTTGTATCCATTTAGCTGTGTTGGCTTCAAACACATCAATACCTCGATCGCTGAATGATATAATAAATGGATAGCAAAATGCTGAAAAAACAAAATATCAAAATAAAGTTAACAGAGAGTTAAAACTTTATTTCCTGCTCCTTTTATGCTGGAAAACGTATTCTAAACTACTTCATTTGACGCCACACTACAGAAATCGCTTGCAGAAGCTTGTAGTCATTGATCAGTTGAATGAACCTAAACTAGAGCATGCAAGGATGATATACAGTAACTCCTTACCAACGCTAGTAGGTGGTGAAGGCCACATTAGTTCTTCTACTCTTGTTTTCTGCCCCAGATTATCCACAAATACTCCAACCTCTGTAAACAAACGGAACAAAACATGAATCAATACTATTAATATATGAAATAAACATACGAAATAGAATATCATCTCTTAATGCCGGACACTACACAAAAGGGGGGGGGGGGGCTAAAACACCAGTACCGAACCATACCTTACCTAATTTAATAGTACCATACCTTACCTTGCCACACCACACAATATCACAGTAATCACACCACATCATGCCACACAATACCAAACTATATACCATACCATACCACAACATAATATATGCATCATACTCACCATCAAAACAGAGGAGGTATTCCTTATTTGGTGTGATTTCCACAGCAAGTAGCGCGTCCATTGGTGTAGAGCCAACGTAGTTCAAGAGAGGATCATCAGTGTTTACTAGTTCTAAAATATATAATTTGATCCATCAAACATCTCCCAAGAGATTTAAATAATAAAGTATTTTAGAAATTATGCTTGGTACGTCTCAGTAACGATACAGGTCAGCAGATGATGGTCAACTAAAAAATTAAAATACATCTCCTCAATGGACGACTTGCGCTTTAGACTAAATTTTAATCTAAGTAAGAACAACGAAATCTATCACCACAGCTAGAAAGAGCGTCTTGGAATTAGTAATATTACAAAGTTTGGTTGCGAAATGTTGTAAAATACGGAAAATATAGCCCTTCAAAGTTGGCAAATTTGTATACTTTTGTATTACCGGTACGTGCGTGAATTGGTAACTAAATTAGTTACCAATTTCCGCACGTAATAGAAATGTATACAAATTTGCCAACTTCGCAGGGCTATATTTTCCGTATTTTACAACATTTCGCAACCAAACTTTGCAGTTTTTCTAATTTTGATAACTTCTTAACAAAAATATCCTTTGTTATTCCCAGATTAAACATTTTTCTAAAGCGTAAGTCGTCCATTCCATTTGTTTTTAAAGTCCAATGGTACTTACTAAGTGGTTCTCCTTCCTGTAAACTGTACACCACAAATCCAGAAACATAACCAACAAACAATCGACCAGTATACATTCCTAACCACTGACAGTTCACAGACAAGACTAATGTCTAAATGAATGATAAGTATTTCAGAATATTAACTACTTTTCAGGTTCATCTGTAGAACGTAAAAAAGTCGTCTTCATGGTGACTATTAAAATATATAAATAAAAATACTTTGCCTTTGCGCAGCCGTGCAAAACGTTGTTACCTTGATTTTATTATGTCTGGTTTTCGTTTTTTTATTTAATCCATACACGAGCACTTGTCGTTTGACAGAAACACAGAGACAACTAGTAATAGTATCGCCATCCTTAATATAGCCAGAGGCAAACAACGAGCAACCTGAAACAAAATGATATTTCTTGTCAGTTACGTGCAGACGATATCAGACTTGTTGAAACAACTTGTTGCCAGGATTTTAGCCTGAGGGGCGACCAGGCGTCCTGGGACGCCCCTAGAACAAAAAGTGGACGCCTTTGGACGCCCAAATTATGGGGGAAAAGGGAAATTATTTTCAATGATTTCCTAAGTATATTAACGTATCCGAAACGAAATAGCTTCAATTCTCATTATTATTCTACATTTGACATTTTGATCAATTTGATGGTGTACCTGGCTGAATGATAATGTCGTATAGTTAAGTAAAGAAGCAATAGTGGCACAAACTCACAAAGCCAAGTGTGTTTGAAAAATTTCAAACGAGGTTGGAACGATACTAACATGAAGTAGCATAAACTTCAATGGTTTTCCAGAGGAACGTTTTCTCTAACCCCACCCCTCTTTACGGTAGATCTATAGTTATGTCAAAATTGGACGCCCTCTTTTAGGACCCTGCGTAAAAGTCTGCTTGTTGCTGTAGTCTGTTGGCCTCATCCACCTTGTTACAAGATGATAACAACTTGTTCCAGACTTGTCAACAACTGGGAACAAGCAATACGAACACATCTCGACAAGCTGCGAGACGTTCACGCGCGCACGTGAACATAGAAAATGCTCTAGTCTTATTTGAGACATCCTTAGATGCATGCATCCGACGGTACATTACCTTTCGTTTCTACAATTTTAATAGGTTCCGTATCATGGCCGTCCAACGAAGTTAATGGATAGAGCCGCACCTGTCTGTTCTTGCCTGAAATATGAGATAGAAAATCAAAGGTCAACTTACTGTTAAATTTGCAACAAATCACTTAATGGCCTGTCAGCAAAGTATAATATCTTACTTGATAAAACAATAAGCAATTGTTCGTCAGGTAACATTTCAACTTGGGTAACTTTCTTCGCGTCACCGATACGGATACATGCTGCAGGAGAAATGTGCTGGATTAAAGTCGTGTTAAATTGAACCAATTAGTTTTTCAGTCATAAAATCAACAGCTAGGTCTTCAGTGAATTAGTGCTGACTTGTCCTCAAGTCATGAATTATTGGTGAAGTGTAATCTACTATTACATAAAATCGAAGTATATGCTTACATTCTTTCATTAGTTCTAAGAGGAATAGACCATCTTCAGTACCCACAACAATTCTATCAGTATCTGGTGAAATGCGAGAAACAATCAAGTTAGATCCTTCGTGTATAAAATCACCATAAAATCTACAAGCTTGGTTATAATATTGTAGTATAATCCTTTAGTAATATTACTATAAATAAAATTTTTAATGTAATGAATTTTAGAATTTAATGAATAAAATTACAGTTTCGGAATTTCATAAATCTATGTTTAGGCTACCTATAATTGTTGCACACAGCGCCATTTTGACGATATGAAGAGATGCATCACAAACTTCTTTCGCTTGGAATATTTGCTAAATCAAAGAACATACATGATAGATGAACTAACAGTTATATAACAGTTCATGGGCCGGCAGAACATTTGTGTAAACCTAACAAGACGGTTACTGAGGCGTTCATCCCGTCAAAGGACAGCAAAATACAAACGAAGTATCTTGGGGGTGTAATTGGGGAGGGACTAGGTGGTGTTGATTCCTTTTCTATGCCAGTAGGCCACATTACACACCAGTTATCAGGTAGATCAAAGCTCCACTCCCCCCCCCCCAAAAAAAAAGAGGGATACACATTGAGTGAAACTTACCGTTTTCGAAGTGTCCTGACTTTCAGTCAACATTTTATGAAGATGTTGAAGAGCATTGACCCATTTGTTCTTCTCCGTATCCTTGTCAGTCAAAATCAACTGCGTCAATGTTGTTCCCGGGGGTGAAGTTTGACAACACGTTAACTACAAGGGAAAAAATTAACACAGGTTAACGGCAGGGTATTCATGTTTGGAGGCGGTTGCCGAGTTTAGTTTTTACATTCGCTCTGCAGTCCTCCATCGGGCCTATACTTATCGTTGTTTAACTTACTCTAAATATACATGGAATTTCTTTCTTATTAGCGTGGATGACATCGGAGGCAAGCACACTGCTGACTGAAAACTCCGGATCTCTACACAAAAACAACATTAAAATTTAAAGGTTACCCGTAAAGGAGTGTTCAGCTCTGTGGGTATAACCGGTCATTTATCTGACAAAGATTGTAAAAAAATAAAAAAGTTTAGATATTACCAGAGTAGCCAAACACGTCTAATCACACCTTATTACAGTGTTTGTGATGTTATTCTGAGTGTGTATCCACACAGGGCAAGCTTGAAAAATATGCCTGGCCACAGTGGGAATCGAACCTACGACCTTTGGAATACCGTATTTACTCGATTAAGCCCCC